TCTTCTTCTTCTTCTTCTTCTTCTTCTTCTTCTTCTTCTTCTTCTTCCTCCTCCTCCTCCTCCTCCTCCTCCTCCTCCTCCTCCTTCTTCTCCTCCTCCTTTTCTTTATTTTATGTGCACTGGTGTTTTTGCCTGCAGGTCTATGTGAGAGTGTCAGATCTTGGAGTTGCAGACAGTTTTGAGCTGCCATGTGGCTACTGGGATTTAAATATGTGTCCTCTGGAAGGGTAGTCAGTGCCCCTAACCACTGACCCATCTCTCCAGCCCCACTTTTAATATCTTCTGAAGTAGGAAGACTCAGAGCACCTTGGGGAAAAATCCAGCCAGGCTTCCATCTGGGAGGCATTCCAGAGCTCTTTTCAGTTGGGTATTTCTTACTCCACCTTATGGTTACTGAGTATGATGCCCTCTTATCCTTGTTTAAGACCTGTTCCCAACACAGGGTAGTTTAGTTGGCCACTTGATCCAGGGGCCTTCCTGTCTTCTATGAGTAGCCTAGTGGTAGGGCAGAGAAAGCTTACAAGGCTCAAAGGTGTTTGTGGACCTCAACGACACTGAGGACACGTCTGAGTGAAGGGGCTGCACATGAAGTAAATGAGCTAGCATATGGAAAATGTCTCAGGGTGTGTCCTTCGGCACTCCAACAATAAAACCCAGGCCTAATCAACTAACCGTGACTCCAGCAGACTATAGTTCTATATATGGCGTTCCCACTTTCAAGTTTGCAACTGAGTTGCTTACTTTCTGCTTGGCTAAGTAAAAAAGAGTTTTTAAGTGAAGCCTCTCGGTGTAGCTTCAGGAAGCTGGAAGAAACGAAGAGCCACATGTACTGTCCACATGGCATTATTACCCAATGTCTGAAGAGCTAATGCAATGACTTTCCTGACTCCAATTACTCATTTCCTTCTTCTCCCTGTAACAGCAGTGCACTAGACCTGGAAGGGTTGTTTCCCTCCTTATATGAACCTTTGGCCTAGTGATGTACCCCTTAAGGCATTCTACAGTCACCGAGAGACGTTATCCCTGCCCTATCTTATTGCTTAATTCCATCTCTATTTTAGGCTCCTGGAGTCATTTGGCTTCGAACTAACTCTCTGATGTGTGATCTTTGAACAAGCCTCTCTGTTGAGTTACCCTTCATTTCTCACTGTTCCATTTCAATCTGTTCTGGCTTAAGTAGCTACTGCCCCTTAGTCTGACAACACATTCAACAATTGTAGTGAACTCTTACATGACTTCTCTCAGAGGAAGATATGATACCATCAACTTTTGATCCTAACAATCTGTCTTTATTTCTTCTAGTAGTTGATGAGGATTTTCACCGGTTACCCTAGTGGGCTGTCTTAACTTTGAATCCATGGTACCTACCCACCCCTACTTCTTTGTAGTTTACTCTTACTTTGGTAGCTAGACAAAAAAAAAAAAAAAAAAAAGTTAAAATAAAACTCCAATCTGACTTTCTGTCTAACATCAATGTTTTGTTTTATTGTAGTGTTAAAAAGTTAACTAAAAATGTAGCTCTTAGTCATACACACAGGATGCCACAACTGGATAGAATACCTAAAATCACAAGGATTACCCATGTCCGACATTCTAGCCACTTATTCTGCTTTCCTTATTTAAAGATACTGTGCATCAACTTTTACAGATGTTAATCATGCTCCCTTATTTAGACCACAAGCGTAGGGGAAAAGGGCAAGGACCATACACCACCTCACCAGCACATCTGTATGAGTAGCTACTCGCAGCTGTTTGATCATCTGCACAGATGACATTGCATTTTGAGGACAGCTGCTTGGGATTAGGGTCTTGCAAAAGCAGTCTAACATGAAGGTAAAGCAGCCGGGGGAGCAGCAGTCTGCTTCATCTCTCCAGAGAATGGTTCAAGTCAGGCCTGGGATGGATCTAGGTTGAGAGGAGGTATAATTACCCTGGACCAGAGTGGCCTGAGGTCGTGTCTAGCAGACTGAGTTCTATCTATCAGGGTCCTTTAAAATGCTGACTTGGCTCCTTAGAAATACAAAACCTCAAACATAATTTATAAAGGTCACTGGGAATGGCCCGGGTCAGAATAACTTGAGTTGGTTTTGTGCCAATTCGAAGACAGAGGAAGTGGCTGAATTGTTAGATAAGCTCCTGGAGAGTAAGTACTACATTGCTAACTCCAAACAAAGAATAAGAGGGCTTTAGCATGGAGTTTCCACTTGGTAACTCAAATGCCACTTCAGCAATGAAGTCTGCTCTTGGAATGCCAATCAGAGATTTTTATCATGACTTGCAAACCAGTTGTGCTCTTCTGAGAACAGAGCTGCCACCTGCAAGCACTGTAATTCAGCAGAACTATGCAGAGGTGAAAACGGTAAGAAAATTATTTTCAATGCAGTGGGAAGTATTCTTAAAGTAAGTCTGCTTCTCTGAAACTCACAGAAACAGCGCCTGTTTAAAACAAAAAGCAGTTGCAGGGAATCAAGTATTTAAGAACCCTCTAAATTCAACTTTGGAACAGAATTATGCTCTGCTTAAGTGCGGCTCACAACTACACAGTGAACACCACCTTTCAGCTAGGACAAGCAGGATAACAATTAGTAACTTTGGCCTAGTTTCCTTCACAAGAACTACTTGTGCATTTATAGACCAAAGCGGATCAAGCATATTTTAAAAGGATGTGTTCCAGGGCTATCTTGGGAAAGTCAGTGCATATGGTCCTCACAACAGGAACCTCCAGTTCTCATACATTTGCTCTGGATCCTCGCACACATGGGCTACAGCTGTCTCTGCATAAAACTGATGCAATTTAATTTTGTCATTTATATCATCACCTGGGCACTCAGATACCAACTGAGGAAATGTGGGCAAGACAATGTTCTGTCAAAGTAATGATTTCAGTGGAACTTTTATAGCACATATTTGAAAGCATCACACACAGAAGTTAGAAAGCAAAATTGTTAGTAGATGGATGCAGTGAACTTTATGCGTTGAAATAGGCAGAAAATGTAACAGAAGTATAGAACTGTACCAGGTGTGGCAGGCAGTACATTTGTTCCGTGAGTTCATGTTACACACACATACTATTTAACACATATTAAAAGGCTTGAAACATGTTTTTTGAGGTGAATGAAAGACCATACTGTAAACATATCAGACTTGTTTATTCCTTAGAAAAATAAGACTGTACAGGGCAACGGAGTTTTTTCATAAATAAAAATAACAGCATCTAAATAAATGTTTGTGCTTAGAAGTCAGCAACTGGAAATCATACTTGCAGCTTAGGTCACTGAAAAATACAAAGCATCCTTATTATCACTAGATAATGCCTTAAACAACAATTTAAAAACAGGATGTCTGTAAATTTTCTATAATGCATTATGATACAAATGTCTTTATCTTCTTTAATACTAGCTCCTTTTTTATGACCAAAAAATATTTATTTTTTTTGTAATTTCTGCTAAACAGATCATAATTTATGATAATATTGGTGTATTTTGTGGCAAAACTAAAACATTCACATCTAGCACAATCAGCGGTCAAGTATTAAAAAACAGGTGATTAACAAATTATGAAACTAATTAGAAAATGAGTACTTTAATGATTTAAATGCTTTATGACAGCATAATCAATACCCAACATATACATCTCTCATACATCATTGTTGGATTATCAAGTGGCAATAAAATTCACCATTTCCGTATTCACTTTAAAAATTTGTCTGAATTTTACCTGTCAATCCATTAAGAAAAACAGAGTACAGTAAATGTGAAGTTACACACAGACAGTATGTTTATGGATGGGTATCAGCTAACCAAGATTCAGGTGTAGACAAGAAACCATTTACCAGCAATTTAAAGGGAAAATAATGCTGGCTTACGTTTTCTAATTCCTTACATAATTTCCAAGTTGATTTCCAAGTTGTGTGTAGTCATTCTAGTAGTATCCAGATTGGTAATCTGACCGTTTTTCTCTTCTCCTCTCTCTGTTTGTAATAATTTCTGGCTTTTTAATGACTGCATAGAAGCCAAGCAATCTTGTTATTTTCTCACAAGTTAAGTTTGGTCAAGTATTAGAAAGCATCTCACTTTGTTTTTCTGAGTCTACCTGCTCAAACACTCTGGCCGTGTAGTTTTCGTCCTACCATTTTGCTTTCTGTAGTGCTGGAGATAAAACCCAGGGACAGCGGCTCCTCCATCCCTTGAGTCACTTATTTAACTCAGTCTCCAACCATTTTGCTCTTTCTGTAGTGCTGGAGATCAAACCCAGGGACCGCGGCTCCTCCATCCCTTGAGTCACTTATTTTAACTCAGTAACAAGGATTGAAGGAACACCAAGGAGTCAATATGTCTTACATAGGAAACCATCACAATTGTGATTTTGGGATGATCTGACATAGTGATATACTAACACTAAGAATGGTTCGAACAGGTTTGAAGAAGTTTTATGGGACAGGCTATAATTTACCACAGAAATATGTTAACTGGAAAAACACCAGTCCCTCATGTGGCCACAGCAGCTGAAGAGTTCTTGGCTCCTCTGTCTGGGCAATCTGGTCTAAGAGAAGTGCTACTGCAATGTTTGCCAGGCTTGTCTGCCTGTGGGGAAGCAGCTTGCTCTTGAGGCTCTTTGTTCTCTTCAGCCATTCCTGAGGACACACTCTCCCCGTCAGGCTGACACAGCCTCTCCGCAGTAGCCACTTGTTTGCCTGCCTCTGCTTCTTGTTCTCGAAGCAACTGTTCAACCTCCACCTCCAGTTCCAAAGCCTCCTCATCAGCGTGCACGTCCAGCTGCTGCATCAGCTCCTCCAGTTTCTTGGCCTTCCGGAGTTCGTTCTGCTGGATGATGGTACAGAGGTGTTCGGTAAGCTGTTCTTTTGTCTCGGTTTTGCGCTGTAAATCCAGCTTTGCTGTAATGTACTCAGCTTCAGCCCGGTCAAAGCGCTTCCTGTAAGAGCACATGCAAAGATAGGTTCACTCATTTTCAGTGGTGAAGCTTTCTCAGTCAGAAACAAACCCAAACTGCGGACTGCAGCTATGGATACTGATACTTTAACAATGGCTGGCAACAGGGAAGGTAAACCAGGCTAGGATGCTGTCACAATCACAACATTTTCATTTGGGTTTATCGCCTGTGGTTCTTCTGTATGTCTTTCCAAGACTGTGTCTGAGTGACAGCAGACACAATCAAGAAAGTTCACTTCATGGCAAGTTAGCTCAGGGTGAGGAAGAAACAGAGAATTCAGACTATGTGGCATTTAGCACAAACTACTGCCAACCCAACTACTTTCAAGCTATCTGTGTGATACTCCGAATACCCAGAACCTACTCTCCGAAGCCAGCACAAACTAGCTTTAGTACAAGCAACTTCAAATACAGTTGGTTAAATGTTTTGTCATAAAAAAAGGAATTGTTATTAATGGAGATAAAAACAGTTGTAACCATAACACATTATAGAACAGTTACAAACATTCTATTTGCCTCATGGAAGGGAAAACAAGAGGTGGAGAAAGAAAATTCATATTAGTGGACTAGGGAAATATATTTAATGAAAAAGGAATGAACATAATGACAGAGCATACTCAACTAAATGATGCCAAGTGAGGGCAATACCAAGTGAGGGTAAATACCAAGAAGAGAAACCACCAGGCCACAGTCAGTTTAGGCGGGATTTCTCAAAGTCCACACTGATAGTTTGGGCCACAGAGTTCTTTCTTGTGAGGGGCAGGTTGTAGGATGCGGAACGGCGCCGCTGGTGTTATGCATTAGTACCAGCACACACTAAGCCACACATCAGAAGTGTCTCTGCACATTGCCAACATCTTTCTGAGAGACACACATGCTCCTAGTTGAAAATCTCTAGGCTAAGCTGTTTTCATTGCACGTAACAACAGACTATTGTTACATGGAAGAGAGATTTTATAGGCTGAGAATATAGCTCAATGGCAGGGTACTTGCTTAGCATACATGAGGAGGAGGAACAGAAAGGAAAGGATTGCCATTTTAGGCATCTGCTGTGTATGCTGTATGAATGGGTAATGCCGGTCTCTTGTGAAGTTAGACAACTCTAGGGGATAAGCCACCCTGAAACTTCCCCCAGCCCCTTGCCACTGGGTTGCTATAAATAGTAAGGGTATCCTGTCTTCACTTCCTACATAATATGTTACTTCTCTTTAAAACAAAGTAGATTTTTTTTTTCCTCTCCAGAAAGAAAAGAAACTCCAATTTATCAACTAGTTCAATTTAATTGCCACTAATATTTGTGAAGGCCCTGTTGGATTACCAGTTATGATGACCTATTTAATTTCACTCATTCTAATATGCAGCTTTAAGTATAATTTACAGAAAATAAGAAAGAATTACACCTCCTGCTGTTAAGACTCTCTATCTTAAAAGGACATACTGAAAACTATAAAAGGCTTTGACTGAAGAAAACTGAAGGCTTGAACCTGTACTCTGCTGTCCACTCTGTGTACTTTTTGGTCTTAGGACCCATGGGTATCTAGCCAAACTAGCAGGATACAAAGACCAGTATCACAGGCAAGTCACCAGAATGACAGGCTTCTCTCAGTGCTAAGAAGTCACACCATTTCTACCTGTGTTCTCCTTTATATTCAGGCCAAAACAGCCATCAGCTGTGGCTATCAGATTCATTCCACTCAATTTCTCCATATCCAGAAAGAGAGCATGGATAGGCCTTTCTCATCTCAGTTTAAATAGAGTTCTTAATGTTGTTGGTCAGGAACCACTTTAGCCTGTGAATGAAATGGCCTGGAAATGGATATAAATCTTTGGTGTACCACCAGGGTCAACATCTTGAGTGAAATACTTGGATTCCTGCAGGAGTAGAGAAAAAGTCATGCAAAGACCAAAAACTAGTAGACTAACTGGCAGGGACTGAACCTCAGTCTTGGGTCTATCTGTAAAACAATGACAGCAGAGCCACAGAAAACTGTGGCTTGAGATTCAGCAGTATAAACAGTCCAAGAATCCTTTCCAGTGCCCAAAAAATGATTTCCCCTTCAGACCACCCAAATAAAAACTATCAATGCCATTTCCTGACATGTATCTAAAACTACAACTATAAGAAATTTAGAGTTCTGGTGTTTATAGTTTTAAAACTGTTATTTGCATAGTGCTCATTTATTATACTCCTTTTATTTCACTGTACCTAATACACCTAAGAATGAATACACCATTTTTCAATAACCACCTAGGAAACACAAATTATGTTAAAAGAACTTTATTGAGTAGTTGGCTTCTTTATTTCTACATTTGGTAGTATAACCTGCTCATGAATGTTTTAAGTCAAGAGTGCTGACAATAAAGATATATGAATACCTTAGCCTTTTTTGCAATTCTCTTCTCTACAGGTCTGTTCCTACGTCTACTCTCCATCTCTGCTTCTCCAGTCAGTAGAGATTTACAAACTTGGGTTCATGAATACTGAATTGAAATTAACATTTGCAATCAGGTCCATGGGTTTTAATTCATCCAGGCTCACCCCAGATAAATCACTTAAGATTCTGTATTTTGTTTATTTATTTAAAGTCTTTCTGGCCTAAAGCATGCACATATATTCTCCTGCAGAGTGACTGATGTTTAAAATATTGGTTAGTTTCACAAACTACATGATTAGCCTAGGGGTCTTGTCCCTCATACTGAATCTGGGTATGATGGGTACTCTGGAAGAGAATAATAAGATCATTATACATAAGACAGTAAGACACACTGAACTGGAAATGTAATTATAGAATTGTTTTGTTATTTTAAGGGGACACTGAGTGATTTAATGTTATTTAAAGGTTTAAGAAATAATTTGTTGGTTTGGTATCTTTGAAGTTCTTTAAAAAAAAAAAACACATAGTATTTAACCCTTTTTATACCACTGGGTTCTTTACAGGTCTCTCTCTCTCTCTCTTTTTTTTTTTTTTCTGAAAAGTTCGACTGTTTTATGGATTAACGTGAATTTTATCCTTTCTTAGAATTTTGGAAGAACAGAAGAATCTCAGCTAATAAAACTGGATCTAAGCAACATTCTCCCTCTATCTGGAGACACCATAGGAAGTTTTCATTCTTATCTACCATAAAAACTGAAATATCAAGAAAACAGGGGACGATGTAAAAAAAATGATATGGTAACTGAATAACTTATCATCTGTTAATTTCCTGGCGCTTTGTTCAAAGTATTACCTCTCAAGAATATGCTAATAATGTCACTTTAATATTTTTGGTTTTCACTGAATACAACTGAACTTTTAAAATTTATCATGAATGTTGAAAATAGAGAAAATTGACAGAGAAAGGTATTTTGATGCTGCTAGACAAATTCAAATATGAGTGTAAGCTAAAATCCAGCTTTTCAAAAATATTAATTTTGAATCTGTGGAACTTTAGAAGTTAGTTTCCAGAACAGATGTGATGGAAGGCTTTAAGAGGAGGGAATCTGAATTCCAGTGGGTCCCAAATACAATCACATGGAGCCTGTGCAGGAGCGGGCAGAGGAAATGTGGGGACCGGAGGAAACACGTGACTATGGAAACACAGGATGGATAGCTGTGACCACAAGTTAAGGAATAGGTAGGTATAGCCATCAGCAAAAAATTGATCCATAGGGTCTCTTAGAAATCATGTCTCTGCTAACACATTTATTTTGGGTTTCTAGTCTCCAGACACGCAAGATGAGAACTTTCTGGCATTTTAAGGCATACAGCTTGTGGTAATTTGTACACTGTCCTAGGGAAACAATGCATAGTCATGGCCTGGAGTCTAAACAGTAAAACAGATCATGCAATTGACGTATCAGTGTTCAGAAGAGTCCTCTCAAATGAATTTCTTCACTCTCAATGACTGAAAGTGTATTTCTAAGGATAACAAGGAAATGTGAATTCCACATGCAATTTATCATTTCAACAGGAAACACAAGTATCTGTAATTCCTCAATAGCCACAAATACAAATATAGAAAATTCTGTACTAATCTTAAGAATGAACAAAACACAATTCTAGTTCCAGCTAGGACTGTCTGTGGCTTCTCTGATTCTCCATCAGAGCTTCACCTTTGAAAAAGAGCCTCACACATCAGCAACCACTCAAAGTTATGTCAGTAAAAGCATCATGCAAATGATATCTTTAGCTTACTAGACATACGAAATAAAAATATATGATGTGAAACACTTTTACTGTCTAAGAATTCTCTGCAGTTTCAGTAAAAAAAATGGTAATTCTACCTTCTCTACGATTTTTGAAAGCTAAATTGACATTTTCTACCTAATATTCAATGTGAAAAGGACATATTTCTGCAGCTTGCTCAAAAGTAAAACAGACTGAACACATTGTATTTATGTATTTAGGAATGCACACACAAACAAACACACACACACACACACACACACAGAGACACACAAACGCTACCAACTGATAAAAGAAAAAGACCACAAATTTAAAAAATAACAAGGAGGATACATTGGAGGCTTTGAAAAAGAGAAGGAAAAATGATGTAATTATATTATTATATGTAATCTCAAAAAATACAAGAAATAATTTAAAACACACACATACTCAGACTTTTCCTGCTGAGCCAGGACAACAGAATGCTATGAACCATCTAGATCAGAGGCTACAGAGGTGTGAAAACAACCCTCCGGCAGCTCCGTTGCAGAGAATAAGATGTACTAAAAGTCAAGGCTGAGTTTATTTATAATGAAATTCTAGTTACCTGCTTGACAGTAACAGAAATTGGGAACTTGTGGTTATCAGCTTCTGATGGCATTAATTTAGGCTGTCCACTAATAAAGGCAACCCATTATGTCTCATGAGCAAACAACAATTACCCAAATCACAGGAACAACCACAGGCCTCTTTCAAACACTAAACAGTGAATTAAAACTATCACCAAGCATTTCCGCTTTATTAAATTGTTATATAAACATTCTGATGCTGTGGTTTACCCGAGACTAATGAAGCATTCTGATTGATTTCTAGTGTTACAGGGAAAGATACAAAGCTGAATCATTAGCACAGCATTCCCTTGTGAAAAAAAGACAAACTGGGATGATTAAAGCAATGCTGAAGGGACTGAGAACCCTGAAATTGGGCGTATTTTTTGCCCTTTTATCTGTTTGCAAAGCCCATGTAATGCTTTACATGTGTTTATTCACTTTAAAAATATTCCACAATGTGTTTTTCCCTTTAGAAAAAAGGGAAGCATTAGAAAACCAAGGAAGCCCATGATAGCATAGCATTTTTTTTTTTTTAAATAAAGTATAACCAAACAAGGAAGAAACAAACTTCACAATTCTTAGAGGATATTAAAGAAAATATGTCCATAATAGTTTTTCTTTCTATTTATAGACAGACTTAGGCCTGAACTTTCAGTGATCCTCCTGCCTCACCCTCTTGAGTGTTGGGAATATATGCAGGTCCAATCATTCCTAGCTTATATCCAAAAATTATTTCAAAAATTTAATTTTCTTACTTTGATAAAAATAATTTGGCTCCAATTCCATAAAGGCAATAGCAAAGAGTCAAATTTTTAATGGAACAGAGACTAGGTGTTAGAATCATTTAGTTCTGAAACAGGCTAATCAGACATATAATTTGATAGATCCTGAAACACTCAGGGTCTTGAATGTTAATGCGCTGAAGGATAATCAGGAACCACTAAAATGCAAACGACTAATTCAGGAAGAGTTGTAGCAGGAATTTCAACAAGGTTGAGCCGTAGGACAGGCGGCCACTTGAATCAGAACATTACAAATGGCATTCTCATGAGATGTTACTGGTAATTTCATAGAACCCACTGGCACGGTTAATAACAGACACGACTTAAGCCAGTCTGCTCAGACCTTCTCCCCTACCCACCGTGCATAGGAATACTCTAGGCTGGCCTGGTCAATTCTGTTCCTGAGGATTCCAATATCAGCCGACACCATGTCGTCTAAGGCTTGTAACTCCTTCTGAATCCTCTTTAGTTTCATGGTCTCTGCTTGAGTCCTTTTAGATCTAGAAAACCAGAAATGTGAGTTGGAGAAAACAACAACAACAACAACAACAACAACAACAACAAAAAAAAAAACACTTTAAGACCACATTTCCATACATGGTACACATAGAAAAGGATGGCAATTAAATCAGAATTGAAACAAATGTTCTTTTGTTCTTGTTTTTCTAAACTTTCTATTAGTACATATAATTTTCATGAAGAAAGCAAAAACTAAAATTTTTATAAAAGTCCCTGGTTAACACTTCATTTGTGAACTTACATCTACTCACTAAAAAATGTCCTGAAAGAACATGTCAATATTCCCTTCATATCAAAGTATCCAACATAGCTTTCCAAAGCCCAGAATTCTATTCTCCTTCTGGAGTCCATTTTAACCTCTCACCCTCCCTTGACATAAAGAACACTTGTCTGATAACATCTATGTTTTCAATTTCCTCAGCCTCATCTTGTTTCCTTGGAAAACCATCAAGGCCCTTAGAATTATCCACTGGACTCACACCATCTTTTCTATTGAAAAGGGCACGCAACTCGATTATCTGTCCCTTCACCATACACAAGTGTGTGTGCTCGTGTGTGTGTATGTGTATGTGTGTGTGTGTGTGTGTGTGTGTGCACATGAATGCAAGTGCGTGCACATGGATTTCAGAAACAGAGTCATACATAGAAGTGAAGCTATACTCATGAATCTACTCATTTCGAAATTTTACACAGGCTCTCTAGGAAGCAGGGCATCCCCCAGTGACCCTATTGCAGGGCAGCTTGCACTCCTGACTTCTGCAATAGGCTTTTCATCCCTACGCTGCTGTCCCTATTTTATTCTTTATTATTTTATTCGGCCTTAAACAACGGCCGAACTATGGAAGCAATACATTCTTTTAAGACAAAGAACAACATAGCTGACACTGGCTCCACACTCACAATTCTCCTGCTTCTACCTGCTGAATGCCAGGATTACAGGTGTGCACCACTCCAGTAAGCTCAATACACCTAAACTTGTTTGTAAAATACCCAATAAACAGTCTCTACCCTTAGTAAAAGCCAAGAGAATCCTTTTAAAAGCATAATTACTTGCGGAGAAAAAGACAGTTTTATTATTTTATATTTTGTTCTTCTTGAAATGTAAGTCAACTTCTGAGTTTAATATTTTTATTATACTTCATGAGAAGTTGTTATAGAAGGGAAAAATATTTTTCAAATGTTTCTGAGTTATTCTCATATCTACCTATCTTCCTTTCACCTCTTCTGCCCTTATGCCAATTCAAACCTCAAGAAGCAACAGTTTAACCCAGGGTCTTGCTCTACAGCTGTGCAGCCGAGGCTGACCCTGCACTTAGAACAATCTTCTTGTCTCAGTCTTGGCAGTGCTGGCATTGCAGGCAGATTCTACCACTCCTATCTGAAGGTCTTAAAAGCAAAACGTCATTGAATAGTTGCTTGTGTTCTGTTCAGTAACAGAACTTAAGGCCACAGGAGAACAGGATCAATAAGCTCAAAGCACAGGAAGAGCAGCAAAGGCATGGAAGAATGGCTTGCTTGCGGTGCTGCAGTTGGGGCAGGTATGATAGAGTACACGAGAAGAGACAACTGACACACTCAACACTGAAGGTGAGGGGGGAAAACAAACCTTGCCCAGGGTGTATGACAGCTACTCTAGGTCACCAATAAAGCACAGGCAATGATTTCAGAAAGTGCCATCAAGAAACACAACCAATGTTTATGACGGTGTGAGTCACTCCTGCACTGCACTTCCTCCCCTACATGCTGGGCGGCTAATACATCAGAAATAAACCTGCATTTGCTGCTCATTTACACACACTGATACCTACTTCTCACGCCTCGTGACTGTGTGTTAACAGACGGCCAACACTGATGCCAGCCCTGCACTTGCAGCTGTCACCACAAACATGATTCATTACTTAAAAAAACAAAAAAGAAATCCTCCCTAAAAGGTAAAACTAGAATTTCAGTATCATGTAAGGCATAATTTGTCCTAAAAGTAAAAGTAGCAAAGTATCAGTTTATTGGGTAAGGCATGGGAAAATAAACATGAGCTCTACAGACATGACTGTGGGTCACAAGCCCCATCCAGATGCCTTACCTTTCCGCAATGGCTTGAGCCAAAAGGGCTTTCTTACGTTTATTTTTCTCTTCCATTACTCGCTGTTCTTGTTGGAGGACTTCCCAACGAGATTTTTCTTGCCTGAAAAAAAAAAAGTACAAAAATGAATGAACCCTACACCTTACCATTCTGTCTCCTACGCATAAAATTTAATCAGGCAGATTACATATATTTTCTTTCAAAAATTCCCTCAAAAGAAAACCATCTGCAGCTCATTATTCTGTTCTAATACGAACAAAGAACATGATCTGAAGTAAAGAGGCTTCCATAAATTGGACCTTTGAAATCTATATATGTGTATAATCTAGGAACCCACGAAATGGAAGCCCAAGTATTGTGGCATTCTTTTAGGAGTACAAAGAAATGTGTGCGTGGATAGTAACATATGTAAAATTGAAATCAAAGTATATTCGTATACAGGCTTTACCTTCTAGAATTTTCTTTATGCAAAGTCTGGATTCCCTCAATATCTTAATATAACAGCCAATACTTGTTTCTTACATTTTCTTTCAGTCTGCTCACTTCTCTCCAACTCTTTTTTTTTTTTTTTAGATAGGTTAAAACAGGTTTTTAGTTGAAACAAAATCACATCACTTTCTCCTTCTCTTTCCTCCCTCCAATCCTTCTATACCCCCCTCAGGTTGACAGACATTATTGTTATGGGCACATATGTGTATGTACAATACAAATATATATACAAATATAACCTGTTGAGTCCTTCAGCACCAACTCTTACAGTTTTAAATGAGTAGTTGTCTGAGCTAAAGGCAAATGGAATACTGCAAAACACAAAGTCAAAGATCTGAAAACATGTACTATATCTTCTAACATGTCCAGTTCTGAAAAAGATTACGGATATGTCCATAGTCATAAAGCTATCAACTGAAATAAAGGTCCCAGGAAAGATTCTTCTTCTTCCTACTGGTGTTTATCCAGCCCATCCAACGTCTTTAACCACAGACCTCGCAATCATTTCCAAACCTGCCCATGTGTTACTACAGCTTCCACCAAGGCTCAGCATCAGCCATGGCTCACGTTTTCCACTCCACAGGCTCTTCAGGCCCAGTTCACCCGGTTCCCATCTGTACACAGACAACTGTCATTCTCTAATCATAACTTTGACCAGGATATTTCTTCCCCTGGGGTCTCTGATATTATGCTACACCAGGAAGCAGGCATTCCCTTTATCCTTCCTCTCTTATTTTTCTATTCTTGAGCCTTTGCCTCACTCAGGAAAATGAGAAGTCATCACAGAACACTGTAGGATATCATTCTCCTTTCCTAAGCTTATCATTTCAGAACTCTTCCTTTTTGAAACCAATGGTTCCTCAAATTACTGTCTCCTATGGATGCTCCAGAGCATCTAAAACACAATGATTTTCCTAATGACATGTCACCCAAAATGTCCATCACAATCACAAACTCAAAGGCTTCCTGAGCTATAAGGTGGGGCGCTGTGGTAAAACAAAACAAAAACCAAGCAAAGAAACTTAATTCACATAGCTTTATGTATCTCATCAAAATGAATCCTGATAAAACTATGGTGAGCAGTACTCTCTTGACACAAAAACTGGACCAGGAAGGATGAGGAATATATTTGATAATGGGAAAAGCATAATATACTTTGAAAACATTCAGAAAAGGAAAAACAAATACCATTTTTTCTTCCCATTACAAAGAATTTACAAGTTAGCAAATGGAAATTTCTATTTGGGCATAGCTAAACTATATACAAACTATATAGGTTCTAAAACAAAAATCACTCTTATTATTTATTGGCTGTGTATGGTAGCTTTAGAAAGATAGTGTATGTGTAAATTTGAGAGGCAAGTGTGCGTGTGTGTATGTGTATATATACTTGAGAGGGGCCTTGCTATACAGCTGAGCTTAGCTGGATACTCACTACATAGGTCACTCTGGCCTCAAGCCTAGACAGCTCCTGCCTTAGCCCAAGTGCTAGACTTACAGAAATGGGCCATATGTCTAGCTTTAAGAAACATTATCAAATTTACAGGTAAATGGATAGAATTAGAAAAGACCATCCTGCGTGAGGTAACCTAGAAACAGAAAGACACGCATGGTATATACTCACTTATAAGTGGACAATAACCACATAATAGAGGATAAACATACTAAAATCTACAGACCTAAAGAAGCTGAACAACAAGGGGGATCCTCACTCAGAAGGCAAACAGGATTGACACAGGAAGTGGCAGAAGAGAGGGTATAAATGTCCTCTGAAAGACTCCACCCAGAAGGGGATCAAAGAAGATGCAGAGACCCACAGCTAAACTTTGGCCAGAGCACAGGAAATCTTATGGAAGAAGGGTATAAAAGGAACTGGAAGGGGCAGGAGCCCCACAAGGAGAGCAACAAAGCCAAAAATGCTGGGCCCAGGGAGACTGCAGAGACTGATATATCAATGAAAGATCATTGATAGAAAGGACCTAGAACCCCTGCTCAGATAGAAACCATAGACAGCTAAGTGTCCAAGTGGGTACCCTCGTAAGGGGAGAAGAGACAGTCTGATGTGAACTTGGTTGCCTGCTCCTTGAGTCTTCTCCCTGGTGGGATGACCTAGCCAGCCTACAGAGGTAGAGGATCCAGGCAGTCCTGATGGGACTAGGGTCAGACAGTAGGAGAGGAGGACTTCCCCTATCTGTGGACTAGGGAAGAGGGATAGGAGGGATATGGGAGAAGAGGGAGGGTGTTTGGGACAGGGAGGAGATGAGGAAGGGAGCTATAACTAGTACACAAAGTGAATAAACTGTAAATAATAACATCAACAATAATAATAAAGGAAAAAAGAAAACAGTATCTTTTTTACATCCTAGATAACTCCTCCATGAGGTGAAAAAACTTAGCACGTATTATAAGGCTGTTGTAAAGAGTAAATGACAAAACAATGTATTTAGTTCATAATACATTTAGGTGCTACATTCTAGGCAAAAACTCAACAAACTATATTTTTTCCAAGTCCCTTGGGGGAAAAGATGAGAAGTCTCATAGACTTACTAACAATTCCATTTTCTTTTTCTCCTCTTTGCAATCTGGCTTTTGAGCTCGAATCTCAGCATTTCTGTGATGGGAATTCTCAAGTCCTGGTTCTCGTGGTTGACTTTCAACACCTTGTGGCTTTCCATTGCCCGTAGAGGAGGTGAGTGTGAGAGGACTAGGAGCAGCAGGGGAAGAAGGACACGGTTTTTGATTGTTCGCTTTCTGTTTGGGTGCAGAGAGCAGCTGCTCTGGAAGTAATGCGGTGGATCCATCTTGAAGACCAAGCTTTTGGCTCTGTGCCAGAAGGGCTTTTTCTCGCTGAAGCTGTTGTCGAGTTTTTTTCACAGGAAGACGGCGCTGAGGTTCAAACGGATCTACATAAAAGAGAGTGAATGACAATTCCCTGTGTGAACAACAAATAACAATCATTTCTCTAAAAACATAAAGCAGTGGCATTAAATTCCCATCCTCTATCTTGAAAGTCCAGAAAAATCATCCATTTTCCTGGTTCAACAGTTCTTATATCATACTATTAATCAACAAAACCCAGCCTTGCTCACAGCTCATCTTTACAGAAAATCTATTTAATTGAATCAGGTCCAAGGACACAAGGCAAAGTTTTCATTTCAACTTGAGGACTATGAAAGAATTGACTAATTTAACTAAGTTGCCAAATGAATTCTCTGAAATATTGTTATTGGTAGTTTTGATTCACATGTTTTCCTATGCTGCAGAAAAAACTAATGGCTGTTTTTTCAAATGTGACACCTCAATTTAGATTTACACCTTCAAACAATGCTACTTACTTTAACAGTTTTAGCTTACAGATCAGTCAAAGGCATATTCACCAAAGACCAGAAAAGTTCTCATCAATGCACTCAAACTCATATTAACAGAGGCTGAAACAAGCAACAGAGCAGGATACAACAAATTCTAGGATGTTTTTTAAAGCACAAATCATGATCCTTTTGGGGACTATTTATATCAAGATTAAACTCTTAGGACAGATAATCAATAAATTTCACGACATTTACTATGATCTACAAAAATCATACTGTGTAAAATTATGAGTCCTTACAAGTGAACACTCAAACAAGACTTTTAAGGCTGGGCATGTCACACAGTGGTACAGCAAATGCCCAGCAGGCTATTCAAGACCCCAGGTTCAATCCCCAGCACAGAAAAACAAACAAACAAACAAACAAACAAAGACTTTTCAAGTATGATGTTTAAATTCTGTACACTGACCCCTAAAGTACAACTTTATTAATTTAAACTTTACAAAGTAAAGTCGGAAACTTTGCAATCATTAGGTTGGGTTCAGACTACTTCACTGGGCTCAACACCTGCCATTCCAGTTGTAACTTAACCCATGGAGACAATGAAATGTGAGATATGCACAGAAAATTAGTGAGAGAATATCTTATATCTGTATGGAAATTTTACCTGTCGATAATAAATCTGATGGCCTATAACTTAGGCAAAAAATAGGAGTTAGGACATCTGGCAGACAGAAAGGATTCTGTGATAGAGCCAGACCCATGAGATTCAACAGGCAAGGTTTGAGGACAACACATGGTACCTGAGCACAGGTAACCAGCCACACGGCAGACTACAGATCAGTATAAATGTGTTATTAAGTGATGAGCTAGTCAGAGAAGAGCCTGGCTAAATGGCTAAGTATTTGTATAATATTTTGAGTTTCATGAGTCATTATTCTGCGAATATGGGGTCAGGAAAAAAGATCCCCTGTAACAGAAAATGATTTAAAAACAAAAAAAGATATAATACCAAAATTGTGTTCTGTGTTGGTTAGTTTGAATCATCAACTTAATGAGATTTAGAATTACCTGGGAGATAGAGTTATGGGTATGGAACCACTGTTAGCGACACCATTCCCTGTTTGATATTCTGACTGTATAAAAAGAGAGAAAGTGAGTTTAACATAGGCACTCACTGTCCTCTGCTTTCATAACAAGGATGCAACACAACCAGTTACTCCAGCTTCTGCCTCCAAGACTTCTCCACTATGATGGCCACTACTCTCTGTTAGCCAATATGGATCCCTTCTCTCAAGTTGTTTTTGTCAAGGTATTTCATAACAGCCACAAGAAAAGTAACTGAGACGTGGACTTTCTCAGAAACACAAAGTATCCTCCTCTACAGTAAGAGATTATTGTTAGTTACTGTTCTTATTTATACCATCAAAAATGTCACTGAGGCTGTTTTGGGCTCAACTGAAAACATTAACTGAATAAGTAGTTCCTTTGTAACTCAACTATGTCTCCTTTACTTTCTATTTTTACAGAACACAGATATAAAGCTTAGAATGATATATTTTTCACTAACATCAATAAACAAATAAAGGCATATATACAGAACACACTGCTTCAGTATTATGTACTGGAAACTAAATAGCAAGACTAAAGCCAACCAAAGAGCATAAATCTAGTACAAGGAGGACTAGCCACAAAAATTTCTAGTCAGCTGCTTCCATTAAAGTAATTTAGGTCAATACAGCCAGACAGATTTTCACAATTAAAAACAGGCACTTAAAATATTTCTATATTTATTTATTTACTTATTTATTTATTTTGTGGTGTTGGATTGAACCCAGGACTTTTCACATGACAGGCAAGTGCTCAACTACTTAGCTCTGGCTCCAGCTCCTAAATAACAGTTTTATATAAATTGCACATGGTCTTCAATGTAAGGAACTGTAACAACCATAAAAACCTAGATTATGCTATAGTGTAAAACAACTCTCAATCTGAGGTGGCATGTTATAGCTAAAGGCCAGGTTGATGATACAGCTCAGAGGAGAAGCAACAGAGACTCTGGGTCCAATCCTCAGTAGTATAAAGCAACAAACATCAAAAACCAAAGGCCAACAAGCAGATGCTAGTTTTGTGAATACTGACAACTATTACTATTAACATTTTAAAAATTGGATAATCAAAAGCAGGGAGGGAAAAAAATCCTGAAAAGTCAAATAAATTTTTTAAAGATTTTATATATATGAGTGTTTTGCTTACATGTAACTTTAACATGTACATGTAGTGAGTCCAGAGGACAGAAGGAGACACCAGATCCCAAGGAACTGTACTTTACTTAAGGTTGCAAGCTGCCAAGTGTGTGCTGGGAACTGATCCCAGGTCCTCTGGAAGATCAGTGAGAGCTCTCAAGAGTGTCTTTTCTTCAGTCCTAACTTTTCATGTGTGTGTGTAATATAGCCAACACACTATATCTGTGAGATCCACTCTATATCTTGTACTCTCTGATCCTCATCTCCAATAGCATTTGAATCATGTGTTGATCATTTCCAATAATGGTGTGTAAGTATTTCTAAAAGTATTAATTTTACCAAAAGTGTACTGTACAAGTAAGTATTTCTTACTTACCATGTTGACAGTGTTCATGAACACTACTGACACTTTTACAGTTATTCATTTCAAGTGCTGAATCACATTCCATAGAGTGACAAAACCAGAGTTTCCCGATCTTCCCTGAGGGACACTTAGGTTGGTTTTAGATTTTACTTCTCGTACATCTCCTTACCTACTAAATTTTGCCTTGGATATCACCCCCAAACTACTGGGTGATAAGGCACAACATTAGATATTAAACTGCTTTCCAAAATGCACTTTGTAAAGCAATGTTTAAGAATACACATTAATACATAGTACTGTCTTAACTTTCGAAACCAAGACAGCCTAAGGTGGGACTTCACTGCGCTTTTGATTTCTAAAGCTCTGCTTCTTGCTGATTCATAGTCATATCTATTCATATTCCTTTTCTTGGAAACATCTATTATTTCTTTTAGTTTGTTTGTTCACACATTACTAGCAAAGAATTAATCACATAATTAAAGAAACTATTTCAATACAAAACAGAAATGGTCATACATCTAGGGAAGAAAAATCTAACAACAGAAAACATTCAAGATTTGTATGGGGAAAATTCTAAAATTTGTTATAAGGCATTACAGATGGTTTAAACAAGTAGAAGCATACGTTATCTTAGTGGTACTGTTAGCTACATAATGAGATAATGAGCTCAAGTATTGCCAAACTGATCTAAAGATTCAATGCAATTCTAACCAAATTCCTATTCCCTGAAATAAGGTAAATTTGTTTAAAAATTATTTCATGAAAGCATAAACATTAAGAATAGCAAGGAAATTACTAGATAAGAACAAAGAGATGAGACTACTAATATCAAGAATAATGAATCAGGTGAGATGGCTGAGCAGGTATTGGCACTTGTCACCAAGCCTGAAGACCTCAGCTCTGGTCCTTAGAACCCACATGGTAGAAGCAGTGAACCAACTCCTACAAGATATCCTTTGACTGCCTTGTCCATGCTACGGCCAAGGGGCCCATACACACATAAACAATACATAAATAAATTGTAAAGAATAATAAAAGACACACAGAAATAAATATTTAATCTTAAAACTGACAGCATGGTTACACTGCACTCTTCTATTTTTACATGTAAAATCAACCAGTGATCATGTGTGTATACCTATGCTACATATATGCATATATACATGTGTTGTGTATATGTATGTCATACACTCTTCCTGCCAAAATTAACTCCCATGTGTCAAGAGACAGTGTGGAATGTGTGTTAGCCTCACCTGGCAACCCATGTCACACACAACGCTACACTGAAAAATTAACATTCATTACTTTAAACAATTGGCTAAAGTTCTTTGTATTGCTTCAATTTAATCTGTTTTTGCCTAATTTCTTTATTATCAATACTTCTGTATGTATTTATCCCTTTCTGATCACATCCTCTTGCCTCTCTACCAATCAGAATTCTGTGTTTCATTTCTTTGATATTCTTCAGATACAGTCTTAAAATACACCTGCTTTACACAATTTTGTTCATATGTAAACTCTATAAGACTGTATCTACCCAGCTGCAACTTCCTCCTTTTGCAACTATTTATGTAATTTATAAATTAATAAAATGTGGCTAGTGATTAATAGAGTCCCACCAACTAGCACTTATTATTTATCCTCTTGCCTATTAGCAGACAACTAGTTTGTTTCTAACTTCTTAATATTATAAGCAAGGTGGCTAGGAACAATCTTGACTACACATGCACTCAAGTGTTTTAAAAGCACCATGTGCTCATTTTTGCTGGCAAGCGATCCCACCTTCCTAGATTATTTAACTATACTCTTGACAGCTGTGATGAAGATTCGATTTTTGACAGCAAGGTAGAAGACTTGGTATTTCTATGCTGATCACTGTGTTCCACCATGGCTTTGAATAAAGATGCGAAGCTACTTCCTCTGTTCTCACAGATGTCATAGATGAGTTGTTTTATGTGCACACTCTAATGTTTCATGACCAAATGACAGGCCTTGAAGTTCAAGTCTTTATCACTTTCTAACCAAATCCAAATTGAAGAAATATTTTAAAATATACTTTTAGATAACAAACATATCGAAGTCCTACATTAAACCTCTGCTGTGGCAAACTAACTTCTGCCAACATTTAATCTCCACGAGCTATCACCAGTGTCCATTAAATCCTCAGCATGAACTTGCTCTATGGCTACCACTTGTGCAATATCTGCTACCACATTATTTTACAATCTGTCTGGTTAATCTATAAGCCCCAGGTCTACAATCATTGACTCGTGCTGTAATCCTCCCTTAGAAGCCATTCAGGTGATAGCTTCGCTTTCTTTTCCAAGTCTCATTCCTTTTTACAAAAAAAAAAAAAAAAAAAAAAAAAATACTTAAACCGTCAAAAACCGGATCCCAAAAGAGAGCCCCTTCCCGACCTGGGTCCGCCCTCTGGCCTCCGCAGCTAAGAAACCCACCCGGGGAGCCCACAATCCCTGTCCGCCCGCTCGCAGCTCCAGCCCCTACGACCCTCACCCACCCGCAAGGCCTCCTGCCCTTCGCACACTCAAGACTCCACAACCGCGAGCACATACTCGTTACCTTTATTCTGCTTTAGCCTCCTCAGCTCTTCCTCGGAGAAGCCCGCCCAATCCTGAGCCATCCGCCCAGCCCTCAGCACCCCAAAGAGTGCCCAAACCTCGGCGCGCAGACTGCCAACACAGCTCCCCAGGCACATCCGGGTTGCTTCCGTGGACGCGGAGAACAGCCAATCAGCGCGCCGAGCTGTGGCGCGAGGACCCCCTGGGCTTCAGGTGCCGGCGCCCACGGGGCTGTCCCGAGCGATGCCTGAAGCTCTGTCTCAGCGGACCGCGCCGCCTGGGCCTTCTCCTCTCTTCACAGGCCTCTGTTACACGTTCCAGTTTTTCTTGACCCATAAGTTTGACAGAATTGGAGCGATGAGAATGTGAGGGAGGGCGGGGGACAACAGAGAGGGAGGCAGTGGCAGAGGAGGCCGAGAGGGAGGCGGGTCCTGTGTGACCAACTGAGCGGAGCCTACAGGCTGGGTTGCCTGGGATGTGGGCTGTACCGGAGCATCCTTGGCTTGTAGGTTGGGTAAGTGGTGGGGAAAGACTAAATAACCCAGCTTTATATCCAATGGCCAGTTCTCTGCTGGACAAAAGCAGTTTGCAGATTTCGTTTGCTTCCTACCTAGTTTGCTTTCTTGTTTCTTTGGTAGATGAGGGATCCCAAGAGATTTTGAGGGCCTCTAATTCACAATCCTCCTGCCAAGTGCTGGGATTATAGATGTGTCTCCATACCCAAGTACTAATTGATGAATTATGTTTTGCCTAAACCCGTCTTCTCGAGCTTTATTTCCTCGTTTTAAGTAGCATTTAGAAAATTAAAAAGATGCAAAGCTTGTCAATGTCAGGATTTTTTTTTTTTTAACAGAACAATGTTTTATTTCAATATTTCTTTTTCACCACTTTTGCTAACAACAACCAGACCACATTACATTGGCTACATTTGAAAACTCAGAGTATTTATATTTCGGCTTATCGGCCAATATCTTTAAGTTGAAATAAAGGAGTATACTGGAAAATAAAATATGGCACCAACAATTGAAACGAGCAGTTCAGTTTAGGTAAGTACCAGGAGAAAACGTTCGACATCTTTCTTGTAATCTTTGAACTTTGAAACTTAACGGGTTTTCCAAATTTCAAGGATGCCACACGTTTATCTTAAAGATAAGTTTATTTTTCAATACATTTGAAATGTAAAATGCCACCCCAAAGGATTCGTTTCATTCAAGTTTTGAACATAGATTAAATGTTACAGCTATACATTAACTAACTCCAGAATAGGATGTAGCAATTGCTCACAATCTGGCGGCTGACTTAGCTTGTCATCTGCACACCCCCATTTAATAAGGACCCAATAATCTTAAGCCAATTTGTGTACTCTCTGTTACATTTTACAAATAAATTTTCTGTGTTTCCAGATTTATAATAATCTTAATAGAGATGGTAACTACAGTGTTTTAAAATGTTTTGCCTTGACCCTGTATGCAAACCAAGGCGCCAGAATGATATAATAAAAGCTAATAAAATCAATCTCTACAAAGCAATACTTTCCCATTTGCAGCATTCTAGATTTCCTCTTTGATGTTCTGTTGGCCCTTCCTTAAGGAGTCTGCTCTTGTCAAATGCTATAAGATGTTCTGATGGGAACCTAGCTCCAAAAGTCTTTGGTCTGTGAGAGTTCTTTGTTCTGAGTTGAGAGAGTATGTCTATAGATTAGTTTTGTTAGAAGTATCAGTCATGTCAAACCAACTATATTTAAGGTCAGATTTCCCCCATTTTCATTATAAATCTGGACCTTACCACCACAAACACCAGGGGTGTTCCTTGCCCACACACCACAGGCTTCCTTATTTTCAGAGCAGTAGGCTGCGTTTTTCTAATCATCATATGCTCTGCTCTTTTCAGATTCTTAACTAGATTGTTTTTAATTATATGTAAAAAAAAAACTCAGTCTTGAGTGGCTATATTTTGTAGTGTTCTCTTTTTATATTCTTTTAATTTCTGTGATATACATTTTTGTGTTTAAATAAAAGTTTTATCTATAATTCAGCATGTTTATGTGTTTGTATAAAGGGATCATCTGTGACAATTTGGATACAATTACAATCTGTAATATTGTCGCCAGTTGATTCTCCACTAGAGCAGTTGGTATTCTGTTAAAACCAAAAATCTAGATCCAGATGTGTAGTTTCACCCCTGTAACTCCAGCACTCAAGATTCTGTGGCATGAGTCTGAAGCCAGTCTGGGTTACACAGTGAATTACAGAATAGGCTGGCTGAAATGTGAGACCCAGTGTAAAAATAAAATAACAAAATTAATTTATTATTCAATTTTAAAAACCTGATTGTGTTTGTAGCCTCTTTATAAACTGGAGCTGGCTGGCTGGCTAGGGAGGTTGAGGTGCTTGCTGTGGAAGACTGACCGCATGAGCTCAAGTCCTGCTTCGTAAGGGAGAAAGGAGAGAGCCAGCTGCACGGGGTGGTGCTCGCACGTCCATCCGCATGCAGTTGTGTGCACGCCCCACACACGTCCTCCCACACACACTGGTAATTTTTAAAACGTGAAATAGCTTTCTGATTAACGTTGGCTAAAATCCCAGTTCCTCCGTGATCCTACATCATCTGGCCTCTGCCTACTTCTTCTATATTAAGCTGTCTTTCCCCCTTTTCGCTCTCCTTAAACTCTAGTCAGACTGGACTTGTTTTGGATTTGGGCTACATAGACCTTCTCCCAGCATAGCTTTCTCAGTTCCTTTAAGCTATGCTCTTTCTCTTGTTCTTTGGTTCTTCCTGCTTAATTTATGGTCCAAAAACACATATAGGCTTTTAATGACCCCACTATCTAAATATTATAATCCTACTTCATGAATTTTTATTATTTATATAGCACTGAGTGAAATTCCTGGGTTATTCGTAGTTTACATTTTTTATTCTCCCACCCCGTTTGATAATAGTTCCATGATATGACCAATGAACCTCTTATTTACCCACTATAAAACACACAACAGCTGCTAGCCTCTCAATATGTATTGAAAGAACAAACCTTTCTGCGTTAAACATTCATTTGAAACATTTCCTCATTAAAAGCATTTGAGATTCCTTTCTAGAATGAATTTCTATGGTGCTAAAAATTGTGAACCGTATTTTTCACTCTCCTTTCAGCTATGACCTCATTAGCTAATAAAAACATTTTAACTAGTTGAGGAAAATCAGTGACTTTTTTTTTTTTTCTTAAAGCTCAATGTGAGGCACTTCCTTAATACTGTGGCTCCAATACTTGACAAAAGCAGTGGAAGACAGGCAAGGAACAGGGCTGTGTTTGAGTCACAGTTTCTAGTGGTAGTGTTCCATCGTGAAGGGGACATCATGGCAAAACAGAGTAGTTCACAATGGCTGGAGTATGTGGCAGAGGCTTCGTATATCATGGAGGATCATGAAACAGAGAGCATGACAGTAACCAGGGACTGAGTGTATCTTCAAAGATCTGTGCCCTGATGACTGACTTGTACCAACCATCTACGTCCTGAAGATTCTGGACCCTTTCAAATTAGTACCAACAAGTGCAGAACCAGTATTCAAAACATAACTCTATCTGGGAAATTTCAGATTCAAGCATTACAAGCCTTATACTACTTTAGCAAGCTTCACAGCTTTCAGTAAGTGGCTCTTATACTTCTTTCCAATATATCTCTAGTCAATAGCCTAATGCTGTTATAAGTGGTTTTATTTACTTTTAATTTTTTTCAATTATTTTGTGTCTATATATAGGCATGGCAGAGCCTGCAACTCCAGTTCTGGGGATGTACAGGCAGGGGACCCCTGAAGCTTCTGGGTCAGCCAATCGAGATGCCATCTCAAAAACCAAAACAACCAAAAACATTTTTAAAGGTAGAAAGTGATAGAGGAAAACACTTGACATTAACCTCTAGCCTCTAGCATAATAGGCGTGCATACACAGACAAACGACAGACTATAGGTTAGTTAACAGCTTGTTTTCTTTTCTTTGGGAAATATTCAGAGTTCTTTCACGTTTAAGTTTATAGTCTTATAATTTTTAATCTATAAACATATGCATGGTTAGGCAGAGATGAAAGGTACACGAGAAAATAGGTTTTATTTATTCTTGCAGTACAAATAGCTAGAACAATGTCTGAGATGCTACTATAACACGGATGGATGGATGAATGGATGGGTGGATGGATAGGTGGGGTGGGTGGATGGATGGATGGACAAATAGATTAATGGAAAAAAGAATGTTAGAAGAGCTAAAGAGAGAGTAACTAGGCACAGTTTGTGGCAGATAACCTATTTATATGAAGAAAACACAGATGTAGGCCGCTGAGTTTTGACTATATGATGTTTGGACTTTGGAATATGTTTTATGCTTATCATCTTTTGACTTCAGAATTCATCATTCACAGTATAAGGAAGTCATACTAACCTTAAGAAGAGACTATAGAGCTGACTTTCTTCTTTCCCATACATCATCTTCATGGAACATTTTAAAAATGTTTCCCAAATGAAACAGCAGTTCATTTAATGGCACTAGTATTTCAAACATTTTTAAAAAATGAAAACACATAAAAAGCACTAAGGAGAGCTGCTAGGCAAAATAACTCCCCTGTTTAACAGTTTCCATCAGTTCTCAGTTTAATTACCATGCTATTCTGCCAGCTTTCTCCAGAAATAATTGACAGAATGAAGTCATTTCATTGGATATTTACAAACACTAGACTTGTAAAGGGGGTATCTGTCAATTCCCCTTTGGCTTGGAAATGGCTGTGGCTGACCTGGCACAGAATTGCCTCTATTTTGAGCTATGCATATTTTCGCAGTCACCGACTCTGTAAAATGAGGGAAAAGGAAGGGACCAAGGAAAACGTTTTGGCTTTAATGCTCAACCTTAGTTCTGCATTTTGGAATTTTCTTCTTGTAAAAAATGACAGTGAAAAGTTCTGTTTTTTTTTTTTTTTTTTTCTAAAACAGAAATTGGTTAGATGTGTGTTTGTGACTTCCAGAATGTCTTGCCAAATTATAAATATAATTGGCAACATTGGGTATCTATAGAAAAGCGTATACACTGACTTATCAATAATGAAAAGAATGGATAATAATGGTTAGTCTATTAAAATCACTTTT